AAAGCGCTGCTGTGACCGCATCGGAAATGTCGGTTGGTCACTAATCAGGGCGTGAAATTGATCCGAGTCTCGGATGTTTTGAAAGAGAAAATGGTGCGAGAACCGGTTCAGATTGTCGGAGTTACTCCTCGATCGAGTTTTTGCCCACCACTCTCGCGTGGAGCTTGTGGATAACAAGCCCGTAGTTCTGGTTCTAAGAAAGTTCTAAGAAATTGTTATCTAGCGATGCTTTATAGCAAATCAAAAACAGTTATGGCCACCTCGTCAGCCAGACTTAGGTTCGTTTTTTTAAGTGTTTCTAATATCTGTTTCTCTGCATTTCAGTTAGTAAATGTGTACATTTTCAGTTCACATCCTAAATGAATTATGTTAATGGTATTCTTTCTATAAGTGAGTGAATCGTAGGTACACTTACTAAGGTTAGAAAATAACATGAATCCACTTCGAATAATAATACCTCATCAAATTACCTGTATTTCCATTTACGAGTATAACGATTTTTTAACATGAAGGTACCTTCATAAACATGTTTTTATGTCTGAAGACCGGTGTGCTTATGAATTCTAATGACTATTTATAAATAGTACATAAACTCTTAAGCTGTCTCAGCGCGACAGAATGAGTACCATTCGAGGTGTTTGAAACAATAACCATACGTGTTTTTGACACTTACTCTGGAGTTACATTATTGAATAAATAAATTGAATTTACATGGCTCTTAATCGAAACGTTTTGAAGAGGTTATTTCGAGATGCAATAGGCTCGGCAATAGGTGATTCACTTGTGGTTATTCTTCACTGTTATAGGACCACAAAGATGCATTATTTTTTGGAAAAAGATTTAAAATTCAACAAATGTAATTTATTTCATCTAAGACGTCTACGTTTTGTCGAAATTTCTAAGAAAAATGGAAATATCGGAAAAACAATATACATTTTATGAAATAAATAAAATTCAAGTAGTTTTAAATTCAGAGAAAAAGTCAATCATTATCAAAAGTTTCATAAAAAGGACAAATTTCAGGATATTCAGGAAATCATCGAGAAAAATGTGTAACTTCAAACAAATTCGATTAATTTCGGAACAAGATTCCAAATTTGGAGTAAAAACCTAAATTTCCAAAAATAAATTGACGTTTTCAAAAAGATATTGAGACTTCAATCAATTATTCAAGATGTACAGGAAAACAACTGAACACAAAATGTCAAAAAAGAATTATTGTCGCGTTTCAAATCTTTAATAAAAAAAAATCAGTAAAACTCGAAATTTGGTGACAGTTTATTTTTCAAAAAGGGATAAAATAAAAAATCAATGAAAATTTTGATATAGAATACGTGTTTTTTATAATGTTATCCAGATTTGGTACTGAAGAGCCAATAAAACAGATGTCTTACAACGAAACATCGGAGAATGACAGTGTTCCATGTTAGTGAAATTTTACTTCTTTCATTTATTATATTGTGTAGCAATCCTGTGAGTGATATCTGATTCAATTCCATAACGAATGTTTGGAATACAAACTGAATAAAGAAAAGTATTTTTTGTGTTCAATGTTCCTATACAGTGTTCTTTCGTGTAATTCAATGTTTATATGAAAGTAGCTGTTTCGAAAGGGATTTTCTCTCAGTTTGTGTTGAAAGTTACTCCTTTGCATGATCTGCAAAGTTATATTGGAAAGGTAACTCTTTACAAGGTGTTTCAAATTCGATCCACATCATTGGGATCTCGGAAACTATGAAAGATACGTTAAATTGGGGCAAAGTTGCGCATTTATCTGACTCACAATATGTCGTTAAGAAAGTTGTGAAATTCCGAGTATATCCGGAGATATACTGCACTTCGAAAATAAACTGCACTTCCACATTGTCACTTTTTCATTGCTACATAATGGTGTTTTCAGATTTGCTATCCGACGTTTCGTCTTCCGGCCATCATCATCAACTTTATTATTTAGCAGGGAAAAAGTGGCAATGAGAAAGTACAATTTATTTTCGAATCCTTCGAAAAATAAAGCCAGAAAAAAATAAAAACCATTTTTCAAAATTTCTGTTTTTTTCGAATATACTCGGAATTTCCGAACTTTCTCAACGGCATATTGTTAATCAGGTAAATGCCCAACTTTGCCCCAATTTAACTATCTTCGTATCTCTCATAGTTTCCGAGATCCCAATGGTGATGATCGAATTTGAAACATCCTGTATAGAGAGAGTTACCTTTCCAATATAGCTTCGCTTATTTCTCATATTGGGAACAGTTGAATACTGAAGGAACATTCTTCATCAAAAAATGTTTTTCAAAGAATACAATAAATCAGATAGTTTCCAAAACATTCAGTGTTTTCCTGAATTGATGAACAATGTATTGGGCCATGACGAATCAGTTATTTTCCTATTATAGTTAACCCATTAGCTCAAATCAACAATGTGAACAAACCGACTGGTTCATTTTATTTCGTATGCGGTTTTGATGAAAATAAGCCTTCCGTTTTTCTGAGTGTCGTAATCTTGCCTCAAATTATATTTTCTTTTTTTCGTAATATAATCTGGTCAATCTAGACATTGGAAAGTACATAAATTTACAATAAGCTGCAAACGCGTGTAATTGTTCAAAACATAGTTAAAAATAATATTTTGAAATTCCGAATGATTGCGATGCCTGGAAAAAAATGTATTCGAAGTCAAAGCTCAAAAATCTCGAAAAAAATGGTTTTTCGCGATTTTCAGGAAAACGGTAAGTTTCATCATAAAGTAACTTCAGATAAAAATTGTAGATCATAAAATTCTCTACAAAAAATGTATCAACACTTTTTTTCTTAGAGCCACCGTTTCTGAGATACGACGTGACTGTTGCTTTACCCCTCCTGTAAAATGCAGACGTCGTATCACAGCCAGTTATTGCGTGTAAAAATAGTACATGATTTTGACTCTTTGCAAAAGTAGATAAACTTTTTGACGAATATATTTCGGTTTGACTTTGAGCTTTTCCTGGCTTTGGAAAGAAAATATTTTTTTCAGGTGGAGTTCGAGCAGTAAGAAGTACGAGTAAGTCTACATCTTCACCAACTCAAGGTTACACTAGCGTACAAATTAAGGGACTGCATTTCATTCTACCTGATATTCTTATATTTATACTTATGTATATCAATAGAAAAATATTTTCACTTGAATTGCAACTTCAGAGATGTATATATGTGGCATACTTATGCATTTAATGACGATTACAACTTTTACAACTTTTTGACTCGTCATAAATTTATATACCTTTACTCTTATTTCTAAGTCTAATTTGACCGGACTAATATTCTCTCCGAATGAACAAAGAACTCGCATGAGTCCTATTAGGAATTCGATGAAATTGTAATTTTTTCTTAGCTTGTCATTTCATATGGTGTGTTCGCGAAGTCAGAATGAATTCGATATAACATTTATTCTTAAAAAGATTGACAAAAATTACTTTTTTAAGAAATACTGAATGGAATCTTTTTTGCCCTGATAAAATGTGAAACGATTAGATAAATACTCTTCTAGGTCACTAATTACCTACTTTTCAATTACCTACTTAGTGAAAAATCTGGGGATGTCAGATTTGACAGTCTTGAATGAATGAATGAAGTTCAATGAAGATAATCTTTTATTGATGTGAAAATGATCCGGTAAACTACATAATATAATGAAAAAGGTCGATCAGATTTACGAAATTATCTTTTTCTCTGAATTTCGATATATCATTGCATAAATTCACGAAAATTAACTATGTTACTATTCAAAATCCAGTGGTGAAAGATAAAAAATTCATTCATTTATCATCTAAAAAATATCTTGAATCACCAAATTTCATTCAAACACGCCCACTGTGAAAAATGTTTAGTTATGATTAGGCTAACCAAAACAAGCACTGCTCCCAAATACCGGCACTGAAACACTCTTCTCGATGCGCTTTTCACCAACCAAGTTGGAGTCTTCAGGATATGATGTAGACTATTGTATAATTTTAAAACTAAAAATAAAGTAATCCATATAAAGGTAACTAACTAATTGGCCGTTTGGAAATGGACCTTTGTCACTGCTATTCGCTATGATCAGACTTCCAAAAGATTCTGAAAGTTTAGTGTTATGTACCAATTATAACAATTTCAGAAAGTTTTCATTTATTGTATGGCCGTTCGGCGACACTAGACTTTTCTGGTCTACGAAATAGGATATATGCTGCTGATATTGTTTTGGATTGATTCTACGCTAGAGGTTCTAGGCGTTCCATTCAGTTCATGATTATGTTTAATGTTTTTTATGTTAGCTTTCATGTTATATCAAGTAAAAGAAATGTTTCAAAGCATTAAGTATAAGCAGAAATGAAAAACCTACAAAATCTCAGCACATTGTTGATCCATAAGAAAATATATCTCTAAAAAGTCTAAGTATATCAAAATGATTCTCAATTCATTACTATAACGACTGTTTCATCCCACTATATCTTTATCCCGAGTCAAAAACGTCCATTCACAGTAAAATACGTGGTGTGTTGAAAAAATAAGCTGAATGTTAAAATTTCGTGAGGTACGTACATTTTTTTTATGTTCGAACACTTGTCTTGAACATATATTCACAGTTTAAGCTGTTTGGCAACACTCAGCCATTGTTTTCACCAGATTGCCTCTCTGCGACTTTTTTCGTTCCCAAGATTGAAAACACCCATGGAATCACGGCATTTTGCGACGATTGAGAAGACAAAAACCGAACTGAGAGAGCTCAAGAACATACCAAAAAGTGCATATCAGAACTGCTTCCAAAATTGGATAAAACACTGATACAAGTGTATTATATATGAGAGGGACCACTTTGAAGAGGTCAAAATAGAAATTGATTAATGAATAAATGGTTTCTTGAGAAAAATGAAAATTCACCTTATTTTATAACAGAGTAGTATATATCAAGTGAATGATTCAATAACATCACTTGACACTTGCTTCTGGTTTCATTTTTCGAAATTGAGGTATTTTCCTCGGAAGTTCTAATTATTAATGCATATAATGATTTTCAATATATCTGAAAACAAAATTATGGCAAATGATGCCTAATTGAAATCGAATCATAAGTGAATTTTGAGAATACTTTTATGATGCCAAAATACAAAGTTTACACAAATTTACAGCTGGGTATGTCAACTTTCCGAAATACAGACCCAAATCGACCTAAAATGACTGGACAATAACGTATTTTTATGTAAGACATCCTTAACCAAACGGACTTCACAAATTTTAAAATAAATCATAAATTTCCATCGTCCCTTCAAAAATCTATTAGAGCGGGATCCTCTTTGTCGTAGTACCAAGGATGTTGCCTCGCAACAGGTGGTGAAAGTGAAATGTACTGGATATTGTGTTTCGTCACTGCGTTGCCCACTGCGTCTATATGAAACTTCGAATTATGCTCTTTGGAAAGTTCACACAGGTGAGATTTCGTGTCACATCTTGAGTAATCAGGACAATCAAAGTCTTGGAAACACTCCACAGTGTAGCACCTGGAAAGAATGACAAGCGTCAGGAGTAATTGTTCTGGAAAGGTGGACCACTGAACCACTTTCGAATTGAAAATTTACTTATGGACCATAGTTGTGGGTAATTATCAATTATTTTTGTACTCTATGTCGAATTTTTTCCTATACATTTAACAGATAAATCGTGGGTTCTGCTAGCTAGCTTAACCTTCAAATTGTTTAGTGTGAAATGTTTATTAATACATTCTGAAATATTTGGAATGCCTTAACATCTTAGCCGACCATTGATTTGGTGTAAAATAAACGAAGGATCTTTTGAACCATGCAATTGCTTGTATCTTGCCATATCATTTTTGTTCCCGGCTCTCCAGCTTATTGATATTCAACAGGTAATTCAAGAGAAAAAAATAACCGTCCTATATTTGACTGCAGTTTCCAAAAAAAAACGACAAACCCTTCCGTTAATAATGACTCGCCCTGTAACGTCTTAGAATGCCTCTGCCAGGTAAGGTGTCACACCTGAAGGAGTATTCTAACGCCTCATCCATGCCGAAAAGATGTGCGAGTCTGAGAGTACTCAGTGTCACTAACGGAACCTACGAGATACCGGGCGCTATCTTGTCGTAGAAAGCCTTGTCACGGTGAGACGGGGCTCTGCCGTAAGGAACTTCTTTTCCCTAGCTTCTCGTGAAAACCTTTAGGGACCACCAATTTCCTGAAGAATCTGACCTTGAGTCTACAGAGAACTAAACGGTCGACTAATGGATCACAACTGCCCTTCCTGTAATGTCGGATCAAAAGCAAAAACTTTGCAGTTCTCTAACTCTTGGATCAGGCAAAGAAACCTAGAAGGCTAGAAGGTGCATCCGGAAGCGGCTTCCTCAACAAGCAGCAGAAGCAGAATCTGCATTAAACCATGATTCACACAAATCACAGGCGAAAAAGTCATGCATATCTGAATCTAAAGTAACGTCAGGTATAGCTGACGTAAATATTCCCTCACATGGGAAGGTTACTGCGGTCATTAAGGTAGGAAAGAAAAGATGAAACTGGAACCTCTGGCGTATAATGCATTCAAAACAAGAACTTTTCTCAAACTCCATCTCCTGAAGGAGTCAACCAGATTGGTGAAACTCGCGTGAAGAAGAGTATGTCACTTCTGGTGTTTGGATCTTGCATCTTAAACATCCGATAACCTTAATATCGACCAATTCATTTGAATCTCTTCAGTATGTTATTAAAGCCGCCGTAGAAGATACTCCACAGGATTGTCCACTTGTACGATTCCAAAGTTCAACATTCCGGGCTGAATAACTGCAGATTATCTAAGAGGATCAGAATAGCGTCTCCTGGTAGGTGGGTGGAGTTATTATCCTGCTGCCCTGGAAGAGCGTCTCCCTGAAACGCGTCACAAGAGATCTTCTTCCAGATCCACAAGTTTGTGTTGCTTGTCTACCTGACGTTGATTATGTTCTCAGTTGATTAAGGAAAATATTCCATAATATTAATAAATCCTACATTATACGGACTTTACTGGCTAGAAACAGTACAGGCCTCAATATCGATCCTTGTGAAACTTCGCGTACTAAATTTCTGATTGATATCAGCCTAAAATGAATCTGTGATTGTAGCCCAAAAGTAAATTTCAAATTCTATTGGCTGAACTGGAAGTAAATGTTGAAAAATTACCTGGAATACAAATCCTTGGGATCCCTCTTTTGATTCCTCGGACAGTCGCAACTGAAACTATGTTTCTCAGCCCTGCATAAACTCGTGAAGTCGCAAACGTCTTCTTTACAAGGGTTGAAACACTGCCTGTTCCTGCAGATTTCGGTGTTTGAACACATAATGCTCTCGTTGCAAGGAGAGTGTTTATCCTTCAGGAATTTGACGCCGCGTTCTCTGAAGTTTTTAATCATTTCTCTAGGCTCATCATTGTACCGCGTTTCCGATGTAACTTCGAGACAGATGGGGAATGTTTCGTGCTGTTTTGCCAGCCTGTAGTCATCTTCAGGATTCGAAAGGGTGATATTATGTTGAAATAAGCGTTTCCATATATCGGATAGGACTTCGCAACTCCACGAGTTCGGATACAGTGATATTTTTCGTACCTTCTGGTATATCTGTTCAATGTCTCGCGAAATCGTAAAGGTGAATTCGTTTAGCGACAATCGTAGTTCCTCGACTTCGGCTACTTTGAAGACGCTGATGTCGTCCAACAAATTTCTAGTTAGATCTATTTTTTTCATGGGTATTTCCGATGTTATGGCAAACAACTCTAGACTGTTGAAACTCAAATCCAATAAAGTGAGATTCGGGTAGGTTTTTGAGCTGACCGCCAGCTTTTCAATGAAATTGTAAGATGAGTTCTCGCAGAGCAGATATTCTGGGGAGTCCGAAAAAAACAGGAATTTCATTGTGACTCAGGTTCAATATTTCGAGATTTCTTAGTCCATCGAATGCGTTTTCTTCGACGAAACGGATTCTGTTCCAACTCAGATCCAGTTTCTTAGCAGCAACGTTGATGAACACACCATTGTGGACGTACCTAGAGAGATTTAAAGTGAAAGAATTGTGGTTTGAAAATTCACCAGTGCTAAAGGTGTGCTTAAATTATAATTACAATTACATTACAAATAAATAGTTAATGAAGAATAATCTAAACCAAAAAGTGCTAAAAGTTTAGCACTACAGATGTGCTTAACAGAAAGACCTCCAAGATCATTTTCGAACGTTACTATAGCGATCCATCAATATGTGCTTATGAACCCTCCCAATCAAGGCATTTATGCATACATTTTCTATGCAATTTGGCAACCATAATTTATCAAAGGAGGAGGCCATTTTACGTTCTCTAGAAATGTCATCTACTGACAGTGGTCCACACAAATTGTCTGGCATGGTAAATCCTTAAGGCAATTATTGCTATTTTTTCACCACACATACGTATCGGTTGAAGATTCAGTGTATTCACTAGAGGAGCTGTGGCAAGTTGCAATTTCTGGAACTTAACTGGCACTGATGGTTTTTGACAGATAGTCATATATTTCATAACCATTTAATTTGACCTGTAAATCCCTTTTCGTTCCAAGCCCTCTGTTTTTTCAAACATTTTGTGATATATCGGGGCTTCCGCTAAGACGTTGGAGAGATTGTTCTACAAGTGACTTTTGTCAGTGTTTTATTGATAAAATCGTCAAGATATTTCACTTTTCTAAATAAAGTAATCGTTTTTCGCGAGTAGGAGTACGGAAAATTAGGATGCCGCCCTTGCAATGTCCAAAACTTTCAACCGTACCTGGCATGGAGGTTTGCTTATTGAATTTGGATTTTATAGTTTTCTACATCCTTTTGGCCTTTAGCTATCCAGGTTTCTTAAAGGGGTTTCCTTACCAGATTATCGATGGTTCTTCCAGTGGCCCATTAACAATCAACGCTGGTGTTCCCTAGAGTTGATCGTCTACGAAGGCTCTAACACACTTCACTCTATTTTACTTCAACGGCATATTTAAAAATATCAGAAATCCAGTTTATTGGTTTATTTGATGCCTGAACATTAACTGCTCATACAATTTTTTGCCAGCAAGACCTAGAGGAAATTAAAACTTTTGTACTTCAACGGCATATTTGAAAATATCAGAAATCCAGTTTATTGGTTTATTTGATGCCTGAACATTAACTGCTCAAAAAAATTTTTGCCAGCAAGACCTAGAGGAAATTAAAACTTTTGGTGACAGTGACAAAACCTATCTGAAAGGTCAGATTGAACAATTCCACGTGTGGTGTTGGTTCATTCATTGGGTGTCAGAATGGATACTGATATGTCTTGGCGCAAATATGTAATTGATAGTGTTTCAGAAACTTGGAAAACTATTTCACACTAAAGAGTTGCCCAAACCTTAGCAACTTGTTGAAATCAGAGCCCAAAAACATGGCATTCGGAATTCAACACCATACAACATTGTTTCGACCCGCCATAGGTTTCATAAGTGGGGCTAGGCTGGAACACGAATGCATTGTTTAACTTAATTGTCCTTAAATGACAAGCTTGAGTAAGTGGACTTTCCCTCAATGATGAGGTCATTCCACTTGGAACGGAGGTGAAATATCTTGGCATTGTACTTGATATAAGACTCACCTGGAACGCTCACTTGGACAAAGTTTTACACAAAGAACGACTGTCTTTATGGACATGCCGAAGGCTTTGTGGTAAAACTTGGGATTTAGGTCCCAAACAAATCCACTGGATTTATTTGATGATTGTCAAACCAATGATCACTTATGGTTTGCCTGCCCTAATTCAGGCAGACTGTGACGTCAGAGTGCCTCAGGTTGCCTCAGATTGCACCAAATTGTCACGTGGTGTCCTGTCACCCAGCGGTGAACCAAGCAGAGTGTACCAAATTGTCACGTAGCGACCTCAAACTGTCACGCAGCTCGCCAGCTAATCAGAGCGCACGCTTCTGCATCTCAGAACATCGTGGCGGGAGATTTGAATTTTCTGTGGACATAAATAATAATTCAGGCATTGAACGTGTTTTAAACCTCTGGTCCGCCTCTTGATTTCCTTCTTGCCACAGAATAGTAACTATTCTCTGGTGGCCGAAGGCTTTACAGAAAACGGCCCAAGCGAAGCTCTCTGGCTTACAGAGACGGGCTTGTCTGGCTATCAGTGGTGCCATCAGTACTACATCGTCAGCGACCATGGAGATCCTAGATCTACCTCCTTTCCACATTTTCCTGGAAAGAGAGGCTAGATGGACTGCATACAGACTTGTACACATTACCAAATGCACAAATCAATTTAATGCAGAGTGTAACAGACTGTTGACACTGGAAGTCACAGCATTCTGGAAATGACCTCTGATTTTATGCCTCCATCTGTCAACTACGAACTGCCTCATAAAGTTATATTCTCTAGTAGAGAGGACTGGATCCTCCGGGAGAAGGAAACATTAGGAGCAGATAGTTGTTGGTTAACAAATGGTTCAAAAACACCTCACGGTTCTGGTGCAGGTGTTTTTAGTCGCAGACCCAGGACAGAGATATCTACCTGTCTAGGAACTTATGCGACTGTATTTCAAGCGGAAATTTATGCTATTGAATTGTGTGCGGAGAGATTGGATAAATCCAACCTCACATGCAAGTCAATGAAAATTATCTCGGACAGTCAAGCAGCGTTGGTAGTTCTTGCAGGTTCCCTTGCAAAGGGAACCTGTCATTGGCATCGCTTTAGGCTTTGCCAAACAAACATTGAACACCTGGATGGCAAGAAGATTTATGGACTTCTGGCAGAATATTCCAGTAAGAACCGGCTAACAAAAAACGCCGTCTCCCAGAGGAGTTTCCTCCTATAACTTCTAAGCCAGCTGCTCCGATTGTTGTTGAAAACACCGGCTCGAAACCAAAAAAAGTAGCCAAGAAGACTAAGCTTCGAAATGAAGCTAGACACAGTGCTTCTGAGTCGGGGCTTTCGACTACAGAATCCTCCGTAGACGGAGAACATGGCATGTCAGTCGACGATTTTGATAATAAATCTGAAAATTCGTTTTCTACTATAGAGGGTGGCCCAAGACAGTCACCAAAAAATCACGATCTTGATCAGGTTGGAAATCCCAACGAATTGGGAAATATCTCCCCTCCCCCTCCGCGTTCTGAAGCGCCCCAAAGCGCCAAGAAAACACGCGTCCCCCCGATTGTCGTTCGCCAGAAGGACAAGTGGGTTTCATTCACCAAACTTTCCACCTTTCATAAGGTTAATTATTCGAAAGCGGTGAACCTGGCCGACGGCATCAAAGTTCAGCCTTCCACGATCGAGGACTATAAAAATATGTACAAACTCCTGGTGAGGGAAAAAATCCCTCATCACACGTACACCTTACCTCACATTTCCACATTTTTCTGGAAAGAGAGGCTAGATGGAGTGCATACAGACTTGTGCACATTGCAAAATGCAAATATCAATTTAATGCAGAATGTAACAGACTTCTGGTTAGCACTGGAAGTCACAGCATTCTGGAAATGGCCTCTGATTTTATGCCTCCATCTGTCAACTACGAACTGCCTCATAAAGTTCTATTCCCGAGTAGAGAGGACTGGATCCTCCGGGAGAAGGAAACATTAGGAGCAGATAGTTGTTGGATAACAGATGGTTCAAAAACACCTCCCGGTTCTGGTGCAGGTGTTTTTAGTCGCAGACCCAGGACAGAGATATCTACCTGTCTAGGAACTTATGCGACTGTATTTCAAGCGGAAATTTACGCTATTGAATTGTGTGCGAAGAGATTGGATAAATCCAACCTCACATGCAAGTCAATAAAAATTATCTCGGAGAGTCAAGCGGCGTTGGTAGCTCTTGGCTCCTACCGAGAAACTCCCAAAAACGACCCTTCTCAATAGAAAGACTTGAAAGATTCTCTCTGGTCTGAATTCCTGGCCATACTGGCCGGGAAGGCAATGAAGCTGCTGACTCCCTTGCAAAGGGAACCTGTCATTGGCATCGCTTCAGGCTTTGCCAAACAAACATTGAACACCTGAATGGCAAGAAGATTTATGGACTTTTGGCAGAATATACCAGATTTGGCTCACTCCAAGGCGTTTATTCACCCTTCGAAGTTTGATACCAAACAGTTGTGGGACTACAGTAGGGATGAACTACGATGTTTAACAGACCTTCTTACTGTCGGAAGCTATTGTGTGTCGCCTCTGTTTGAAAAATGATGAAACAGCAGAGCATATACTTTGTGCCTGCCCCACTGGGGACCGAATCAGGTTCTTAGAGTTCGGCTTCGTTAAGAAGCTGGGTTTATTTGGCCGAATGTGAATAGGTGTGAGCCACAATAAACCTTTGTGGGTTGCGGTGGATGGTCGAATAGACCCCCACTCACTTTAGACCTAACCTAACCTAATTGGAGACGAGAAAATTTGGAAAAATCCACAAAGTGGTCCTCGCCTCCTTCAACCTCAAATGGGCTCTGTCTGTCTGAAGTTCTCCACAATTTCTTTCATTTTCATTACTTCGTCGACTTTTTCAGATGCACACATTGATGACTTGTGTGAAGATATGTTAACCGTACTGTTACTCCGGCATATTTATTACTGACACACCTAAAAGTCCCACTGTATAAGTGAAACACGTGATGCTGTGATTTGTGTAAATCCCGCAATAAGTTGTTCAAATTTCAAGGAGCATCTACCAATTTCATAACAAATGCTGATGATTTGTTATGAAGTGCAATGTACATATGCGAGAAGTTTGTTGGTAAAACATCGCTCCCCGCAAGTATGTGGGTCAATTTTCCACAAATTCCTCGTACAACGATCTTTTTACCTGATGAGATTGAAGGACAGGTCGATACTCTCCAAGGCTGGCAAATTAACGAAAGAATCGCTCGCTGAAATCCGTATATTCTTGTGTACAGCTTTTATTTGTCGCAGTTTAGTCGCATTCACGAATGAGTGTATAGGAATCAGCTCCGTGTTTCCGATTTCGATGTGATAAGAATTGCGTCTGTAGCAGCCATGCGAATTCACAAAACAATCTTCCACGGTGCAGAAGGATAGTTCGATGTCTTGCAGTTCCACGTTGAAAAACAATTCAGAACCGCAAAACGCGTCGACGACTCTACGACCACTCACTTGGACTAGACAGACGAGACACAGAACTAAGAGGCTTGCATTGGCCATCTTTGGATGGCCGTAAACGACTGTTTTCAGTGCGCTCCGTAGGTCATCAGCTGTAATCGCGAAATCGTGACCTTGATTTTACGCGGGAATTCCAAAAATTACCACTGGCGCTGTGAGGTTCGGATGTATGCCACAGTAGAGGAATTTCCTATTGTTTGTGCTTAATTTCTTTCTAATTTCTCACTTATTCTCACCTATTTTAAGGAAAATAACCTGTATATTTTGAAGAGGTGAATCTGTGAATGGTTCTAAGAAAAAACTTCTATAAATCCATACCTATTCTAAAAGACTTCGGTTATGATATTAAAGAGTATTCAATGTTTTTCACTTTTTTTATTTTATTATCGCTTCGTATATTTTATCTATTTATTTTAAGTTCAAATTTTACACACATTTGTCTGCAATCATTGCCATTGAAACGGCCATAAAAAATGAGTAAACTTTCCATAGGATATAACTTGTTTTTGGTAAGGAAGCATGATGACGATTTTGAGCATTATTTATAATGAACACCCTCAGGCAGTCTGGAAAACTATGGCGTGATGTTTTTCTTGCCGGTTCGGTCATCAGGAATGACATATCTCAGTTTGATAGGTGTACAAAGTCGATTTTTCATGTTACGCATTTTATAAATATTCCTACCCCATTTTAACCCCTTCAGACGGCTCAAAAGATAGAACGGCTCTTTTTTTCACAAAGTCAGTGAAATGAAAAAATAATAGTTCAATATTTTAATATTTTCGTCTCGGTGTACTCTGTGGATGTGGATAACTTCACACCCGTTGCAAAACCAATGATTGAAAAATAATGAAAATTTTCAATAATTAATGAGAAGAAACGGACTGGTTTAAGTTTGACGATAGTCGTGTCACGAAGTGTTCTGGCGATGCATTGAATTTATTGGAGCCTCTGGAGACACCCTACATATTGTTTTATGAGAGAGAGAACATTGTTGGAACAAGATCTTCAGATGATGTGGTGCTGCAGGTTTTTCCGGGTTTTCCTGCAGCCGAAAAAGCAAATGCGCCACTGGAATCAATGAAGTCGCCCCGGAGCGCCAATTAATTTTTATTGTTGT